AAAAAAAAAAAAAAAGACTATCTGGGCCAACATAAACAATTAGGGCACAAAGACAGTCCTGTTACTTGGTTTCCATAGGCAAAAATTTCAGGGACAGTGACTTAATTAAACTCACAGCATAGTTTGCCTTCCTGTTGCCCAGTAGGATAACTGTGAGGAACGGCATGAAGTACAGACTTCTCTGCTGGCTCATCACCCACAGATGGCCACTGAGTTACAGACGGGCCTCACCATCAGGGACCAGTCCTGTTACTTCCTTCAAATTTGCCCCGTGGTTGGTCCCTGTGCATCTGTTACTTGACTCCCGACGGTGATGCACGTAGTTGGACTGTCTCCTTGTCACACATTTGACAAGTGGTTGTATGAGCAAATCGCAGGGGAGGAGGAGAGATAATTCATAACAGACGTGCTGGATAATTTGTAGTATTGAACCATGGGGTCTTTAAATGTCTTTTCTCTGTTGAAAGAGAAAGAAGAACTGAACAAAAATGGACGGTTGAAAGAACTGGCCAACAAAAATGAAAATGCAGCAAAGAATTGAAAAACAGTGCTGGAAGTGAGATTTGGATAGAACATTAGTGGAGCTGTAGGAGAAATCCCCGATGGTGGGAATGTTGGAACTGCTGCTGTCCTGGAGACTCTGGCTGTGCGTCCAGAGGAACGTAGCAAAGGCAGACGTACCGACATAAAAGAGGAAAGTGCTTCTGATGAAAAAAAAATGAATACCGAAGGAGATTTCACATGGATACAGAAGTATTTTACAATATTCAAAAGCACAAGCAATAAAATGGTAGAAGCTTATCCAGACTTAAAAGGAATATGACAGTTTGGCATGGTATAGAAAAAATGTTTACTTAGTATCATACATCATTTGACAGACAAAATCAAGCACTATTCCAACTACTTTTAATTAGTTTTTACAATGAATTAGAACTAACTTTATTTATTTATTTATTTTGAGACAGAGTCTCACTTTGTCACCCTCCGTAGAGTGCTATGGCATCCCAGCTCATAGCAACCTCCAACTCTTGGGCTTAAGCAGTTCCCTTGCCTGTCTCCCAAGTAGCTGGGAGTACAGGCGCCCGCCATAATGCCTGGCTAATTTTTGGTTGCAGTTGTCATTGTTATTTAGCTGGCCCAGGCTGGGTTTGAACCCACCAGCCTCAGTGTATGTGGCTGGCATTGTAACCACTGTACTACAGATGCGGAGCCTAGAACTAACTTTAACGCTCAGTGTTCCTAACTTTCTTTTTTTTTTTTTTTTTTTTTTAGATCTTACTCTGTCATCCTGGGTAGAGTGCCATGGCATCATAACTCACAGCAACCTCAGTCTCTTGGGCTCAAGCAATCTCTTGCCTCAGCCTCCTGTAAAGCTGAAACTACAGGTGCCTGCCATCACATCTGGCTGTTTTTTCCGTTTTTAGTAGAGATAGGGTCTTGCTCTTTCTCAGGCTGTGCTCAAACTCCTGAGCTCAAGCAACTTCCTGCCTCAGCTTCCCAGCAAGCTAGGGTTACAGGCATGAGCCACCTCGCCCTGTTGTTTCTAACTTTTTTAATTACAATGTACTAAATAAACATTTTAATCTTTTTTGCATTTTCTTCTACATTTATAACTGATCATTTTAAATATTTTGACAGATTTTTAAAGGTCATGAAACAATCACCGTTTTCCCCATTATTAGGATTGCTCTGCATGGCCATTTTCACGTTCCCACACACTATGGTGGCAATGAGGATGGTCTGCAGCTGGAACAATGCCTGCTTCAGGGAAAACTGATTGCAATGCAACTGACTAGTTAAGTTGTCTATAGTTTGCCAAATAAAATCTAACTGCTAAAATATATTTCTCTTCTCCCCACTTACTCTTCAAATAAGAAAATTTTTTAATACTGGGGTGGCGCCTGTGGCTCAAGGAGTAGGGCACTGGCCCCATATACCAGGGGTGGTTGGTTCAAGCCTGGCCTCAGCCAAAACTGCAAAAAGAAAAAAAGTTTTGATACTGTAAAAAAAAAAACACACACACAAACTTCCAAAACACCATATTGGTTGTTTTTTTGCAATGGATTGCTTTAACAATTGTGGCACCTTTTAAAATAATGTTTTCCAGTGCATAAGGTAAAATATGTGAGATTACAAAGGAAACAACTGAAATACAGACCCCAGGTTAAGAATTCCTGTTGAGTCTCAGCACCCATAGCACAGTGGTTACAGTGCCAGCCACATACAGTGCGGCTGGCAGGTTTGAACCAGGCCCGGGCCAGCTAAACAACAATGACAACTGCAAGAACAACAAAAATAGCCAAATAGCTGGGTGTTGTGGCGGGCGCCTGTATTCCCAGCTACTTGGGAGACTGAGGCAAGAGAATCCCTTAAGTCCAAGAGTTTGAAGTTGCTGTGACCTATGACAGACACCACGGCATTCCACCAAGGGCGACATAGACTCTTGTCTCAAAAAAAAAAAAAAAATTCCTGTTGAGAACCACTAAGTTGTAAGGGCTTTCGATATTGGGGGAAATGGTGAACGCCAGTCTCAAAATATTACATAAGTACATTTGGGCGTCTAGATCATTTGTCCTCCACATAATGACATGAACAGGGAACTGACATGCACTCTAATCCAGCGGTTCTCAACCTGTGGCTTGCGACCCACAGGAACCATATTAAAGAGCCGTGGCATTAGAAAGGTTGAGAACGACTAATCAAATCTAATAGGATGAGAGCAGATAGCAGAGGAGCTGTATTTCTATCTGAATTTTGAATCAGAAATTAGGTTTATCAAATGGACTAAGGCTTCTGTTTTCCATTCTTTTCTCATTGTGACTAAACTCTGATTAACATCAATTAAAGTTCATCTCTTTTGCCAGATTGTTTATTTATATATTGCTTGACAGGGTAAAGTAACCTTGGCAGTACAAAATCTTCCTCCAGCTGCTATTTAGCAAGTTGGCAAAGAATTTACAGTTATTAACTTATGAATATTAAACACAAGGCGTTCTAGAGCAGGATTGTCAAGCAAGATAATCAAGAGTTTGTTTCAACAGGTGCTACCTCGTGCCTTCCAGGAGTGCATCACAAGAGACATCCATACCGTCTGTGGGTGAGTAGCTTGTGTCAACATGCAGAATACCGAGATGACCAGTTTCATTTCTTCTAGGGGATGTCTCTGTGCCAGACTGTCGTCGTAGGCTCTGTAGTCATTCTGCTCTACTCTTCCAGAGCGTGTTACAATTTGGTGGTGATCACCATATCTCAGGATACCTTAGAAAGTCCATTTAATTATGGCTGGGATAATCTTTCAGATAAGGTAAGTACCTACCAATCTTACAATGTGCCAGTCTTACAATGCGATACACGTGATTAAGTTACCTCAACTTATCTTAAACTATTCAGTTACCCTCAACCATCTCAAACGTTTTAGTGTTTGACTTACAAATGCTTTTATGGAATCTCTGTCTACTGTCAGTAATCACACTTAAAGCTCTATATTTAAAAATCCTTGTTTACATGTGACAGTTGAAATCATTCTTCAGAGAGAATTTCTAAGGAAGTATTTTATTTTCTTTTTATAAGTAATAATAGTATTATAAACCTACTTTACTAATTTTTTAATGTAGATGTTTAAATATCTGTAGATAATTGCCTGTCATTCACCAGTGAATATGGGTCCTTAATTTGTTTGGGTGAAATTGACTACTACCCAAGAACTGCATGTAACCTTAATATCATTTAGTCTTAGATGTTTAAATAATGGCTTTCATAAAAATCTGGCATTCTCAATCTTGCAGTGGCAGCACATTCTTCGTTCCTGTGCACCCAGGTGTTTGCGATGTTAATTTCTAGCGTTCTAGCTGTGTGTGTGGAACTTCTCAGCCTTCTCCATCCCCTTTCTCTGGGTTAACATACTGTATGTTATATCTTGAGGGTAATTTAACTTTGTACCAAATTGAAGGCATCCTGGAATATCAGTTTGCACTTACCTTTGAGGAAGAAGCAGTTTTCACATGTGGCTCCATATGGCAGATTCTTTTTGCTCCTTATTCTCCCTTCCCCGACATCTGGTGGGATGGAAACAAACTCAAATGTAGATTAGGCCAAAAAGCGTATTTTAAGTGGCAGTGGAGCTCAGTGATTTAACATGTACATCTCTACAGGTATAACTCAGGCTAAGTGCCATTATTTTGCCTGTAGAGCAGCTGGAATAGTCCTCTCTTTAAAAATAACTCTCTTTAGGCTGGGCACTGTGGTTCATCCTAGCACTTTGGGAGGTTGAGGCAGGAGGATCACTTGAGGCCAGGAGTTCGAGACCAGCCTGAACAAAATAGCAAGACCTCCCTAGTCTCCAAAAAATACAAAAATTAGCTTAGTGCAGTGGTGGGTGCCTGTATTCCCAGCTACTCAGTAAGCTGAGGGGAGAAGGTCACTTGAGTGTGAGTGTTTGAAGTTGCTGGGAGCTGTGATGATGCCCAGGCAACACAGTGAGACCCTATTCACCACCGCCCCTACTCAAAAAAGCAACCCTCTTCAGACTACAAAGACGAAAATATGAGATCACTCCATATTACTCTTACATTAAAACTATTCTCATAGATTGATGTATTGGCATTTTAAGTCCCTTTAAGAAACCACAAAATATAAAGTTTTAGAGTTTATGTGCTTATAGTTGATAAATTTTAACTTACCTAACCTGAAACAAGTTAATTGTGGAAGGGAATTGCTTTACATTAAACAGATGTAAAAATTCTCTGCTACACTCTCTTTACAGGCTCATGCAGAAGATGTAAGTGGAGAGGAGTATATAGTATTTGGAATGGTCCTTTTTCTGTGGGAACATGTGCCAGCATGGTCGGTGGTACTGTTTTTCCGGGCACAGAGATTAAACCAGAATTTGGTATGATAATATTTCTCAGTGTTTGTTTTTCTTATTCTCAAAAATTATATTTGTATTTTTTTTTATTTTTGGCAAAGTTTAAGACTCTGTTACAGATTCTAATCTCTTTCTTAGTGAAAAAGTAAACCTTCATGTGCTAATCCTTTGTTCACAGGCACCTGCTGGCATGATAAATAGTCACAGTTATAGTTCCAGAGCTTACTTTTTCGACAATCCAAGACGATACGATAGCGATGATGACTTGCCAAGACTGGGAAGTTCAAGGGAAGGAAGGTAGATGTAACCAAAGTCACTTAGCCTGAATTAGCACTGAAATAGATTAAAAAGAACAAATCTCTATGAAACCAATTTAAAGCTGTAAACCCAATTATAGCCCAAGAAGAAGGGGGAAAGGGATAAGAAGGGGAGGGGAGGGGGGAGGATCGGTGGAGGGAGGGTCATTGGTGGGACCACACCTATGGTGCATCTTACAAGGGTACATGTGAAATCTACTAGGTGTAGAATATTAATGTCCTAATACAATAACTAAGAAAATGCCATGAAAGCTATGTTAACCAGTTTGATGAAAACTTTTCAAATTGTATATAAAACCAGCACATTGTACCCCATGATTGCATTAAGGTACATAGGTATGATTTAATAATTTAAAAAAAAAAGAACAAATCTAAGCTTTAACCCAAATATGACAAAATGTGATTTGGTGGTAAAGGTCAATAAATAAGATGTGTAACATTGAAGCTTAAGGTCGTAGATCTTAACCTTGCGGTGGGGCCCACACTGTGAAGAACCACCATCTGACCCAAACCATTGCCTCTGGGCTCTCCTCCTGACTGGGTGGGAAAGGGGCAGGGAAGGAAATCACTGCGACAGTCATTACGCATCTGTGTCCTTATCTCTAGTGCTAGTCAAGATCCAGAGAAACCCTGGATGAAACTCTCGGGAAGTTTACATGCTATAGGAAATCTTCCTGCGCCCTCCTTGTTCCAAAACCATTACAAGTCCTTGACGGTATACTATTAGCTGCTATTCAGGGCAAAGACAAAACCTTAATGCCCATCCTTGTATTGCTTTCACTTGATATAACATTTTCTATAGTCCTAACTTCACCTGAATTAACTGAAACTCAGTTTTTTGAGCCTGTTTTTATCTATAGAATAGGAATAATAGAAGCTATCTCAAAGGCTTGGCATGAGAATAAGATGAGTATATATGTGTGTGCATACGTATCCATACACACATCTCGGAACAGAGCCCAGAGCGTAAGGACTGTGTTTTTACTGTTAGCTGAGCATCAAGATCTACCAGTTCTGAGTGGCATTTATCCATTCTTTTATAATGTGACGTGAATCAAAGATAGTAGATAAAAGTCATTAAATTTTATAGAAAGGCATTATGTTATTTGGCAGAGAACATATTTCAATATATTTGATACAAACTGTATTATAAAATTCATTGAAAATGTTAAAAATTCCAGTGTCACTTCACGTATTCCCATCACAGCCCCATGGCTTCTCTGCCTTTTTTTCTTGCAGTCTATCAAATTCACAGAGTTTGGGCTGGTACGGCACCATGACTGGGTGTGGCAGGAACAGTTACGCAGTCACTCCCCATCTGAACGGACCTCTGACGGACACTGCGCCCTTGCTCTTTACCTGTAGTAATTTAGACATGAACAATCACCATAGCTTATATGCAACGCCACAAAACTGACAGCGTCACCAGGTCATGATTCTTGAGATTGCTGAATTGTTTTTAAGAATGTGTATATTCAATGTGTTTAAATTTCATCTACATTAACATTCCATTATCTGTTGCGCCTGAAAACAACATCTGGAAATGTGGCTGTGTTTGATGATAACCCAGCTGTTTACTCGTGACCTCTTCGTAGTAAAATGAAGTAAATTGGAAAGTTTGGAGTAGAAGAGAGACTAGCTCTTTAGGTACGTGATGGCCTCCAAACATCCTGACTTTGGAACGTCAAATGCATATTTGCACTTTTATCTTGTTCTGAAAAGGTACACCACATTCCCCAAAGTCATAAGCCAGTGTTCACCCTGAAATCCTGTATTGAACACAGAATTGGAAGGCAGTTTCCCTGTGAAAATCAAGGCGTGTATATTCAGCGGTATACTCTACATGGAATTCTTACCCAATAAAAAGTTTTGGTGTGAACAGTGCACAGAGTTAAGGGATAGAAATGTATCATCCTTTTCAAAAATCTACAATAAATATGTAATCATTGAAGATAGTTCTTTTAAGCATGATTTTAAAATACCAACTGAAATTATTCAAAGAATCATTTTAAACAATAGTAGCAATCCTTTATGACCAGCAGTGTTCTTTGGAAAGCCACAGTAATTTCAAGAGGAAACTATCAGTGAAAATTGTGTGGCTACTTTGAGTAGAATTGGTGAAGTGATTATTTTATATAATGAAGATATATATAGTAGTTTGAGCATGATTCTTCAAGAAAGCAATAGTGATTTTTGTATAGGGAGATTTTGGTAGAAACTTCTTGGGACTAGACAAGTTGACAGATGCATTTAAGAAATATTCATAAAATATACAATTCTAAGTTGAAACATGAATACGTTTTCAAAAGCATTCAGTTTATCTGAAGCACGGTACAGATGGTCTTACCTAAGGAATCAGGATTTACCTCAGGTAAATTAAATCATGATGTTATTGCAGTGAACTCAAGTGCAATACTTTGTAAGACAATAATTCTTCTGTGAGTTTTCTTATTTGTATACCTTGTATATGGGCAAAGCCAAGTTAAATTGAATTCAAATTAGATTAAATGAGCAAACATAAGTAAACGTACAAACTAGGTAAGTATAAAACCACAGGTTAACGATATTGGAATACTTACAGAATTACATACAAACTGTCTTGAATGTCCTATCCCAAATCTAAAAAATATATATTTAGGCTAAAATAATACAGAAGTTTAAAATGCACTTTGTACCAGTGTCTATATGGAAAGAAGTAGATGCTGAAATACCTCGAGATGCCAAGTGAACAGACAGCGTCGGGAAGCTGTCGTAACATGGGTAAAGATGACGACACACAATTGTCTGCGAGCTATTTCTTCAGAACTGGAGCTAATACAACTGTCCTTTTCTGTCTTCTACTTTGATTAGAAAATTGTTTTATTTCTCCTCTCAAAATATATTTCAACTTTTTAATAACTGAGTACAGTAACTTCACAAAAGTGTAACAGGTGAAATCCTAAAGAAAATAACGAGCTTGTTAATGGAGGCTGGTACACAGCCACATAAATTTCTTTTTATGATACAAAATGACTAAACTAATCAAAGCATATTATAAGTTCTCTCATTGTAACAGAATTATTTCAGAATGTATAGTACAGAAGTTAACCTTGGTATTAACAATGTAACAGTATATTTTTATCACAACTTCAGTTAGATTTCTTTTCAGAACTCCAACTATTTATTTTGTCAATAATGGTAAGTATGTAACATCTAGAGCTATCTCAAAAGATCTCTCTTATCTTTGTTAATCTTTGGGGTTCAAGGTAATAGTTTTTCTAGTAATACTTCCCTAGGTAATGTTCCTATTTGACCAGACGAACAAAGATTGCTTTTTCAAAAAATTTCAGATAAGGTAACTCACTTTTCTTCAGCTGCATTAGTTGATTGTTCCAAGTTCAAAATTGGCAAGTTTGTTATCACTGACTAGGGTACCTGAATTCTTGCATTTGTCTCCTTATACACATCTCACATAATACATCACCAAAGACAAAGAACGATACTCTCTGGCCCAATTTTTGCTTAAAAATTCCAAAGCACTAGGAGCACTTTACATTTGGTCTCGAAAGAAGGAGTTGTTTAGAAAATCAAAGGGCTACTGATTCCCCGTTCATTCTGCACTGAAGCACATGATGACAATTTCAAACCTTCCTTTTTAGTTCATTGATTAGAAAAGCGAATTTCATTAGTGTATAATTCTACAGTGATTAGCAGTGTTTGTTTTTATCATTTCATTTGGGTGGCCATTAATTTTGAAACTCTTACCACTCATTGTAGCTAGTTGTAGTTTTATGGAAGATGTAATTTATAGCTAAAGTGGCTTTTTTATGCATAGCTGCCTTTTTTATTGTTTAACAGTGTTTCTCAGCTATATAATCAGTTTCAAACTGGTTGTAAAGATATAGCTGTGGCCAATGAATGTATTTATTTGTTGTTTCACTAAATTGTAACAAAACACTACTGTTCAAAATAAAAGTGTTTGTGCTTTTATTTGGAGGTCTGGTTTTCTTAATCTTAGTGGACTATACTGAGTTTCTGTTACAGAAGGATAAGAACCCAAATCCAACCACAAAAAAGAAAAAATCAAGAGTTACAAATGATAGTTTGCTTTAGAGATCTCGTAATTACTTGCACCTGGATGCCATAATACGTCAGTTGGATATGGAGTGCTACACTTTACTGGGGAATACCAATGTTATTATAATAGATAGTAAACATTAAGCTAAGAAAAATCATTGTATGAAATAATTTATAAAGCCCCTTCCTTCCCTTTCAGTTTCTTTAGGCATAATCCTGAGCAGCTATTCTTTGATCATTTGAGAAATTCCTCAAGGATGCTGCCTTTTCCCTTGAAAGAAGTTCCCTTTTTCCCCACAATAGACCCCTTTCATGACTCACCAAAACCCACGCCAATTTCAGCTTCATTGGCCCCCTAAAGTCTACAAGACCTTGGGAGTCATCGACCCTTGCTATAAAGTGAAGGAAGTGAAAGTATTTGGAATCGAGGTAGAAATTCTAATAAAGCTGTGACGTTAAAAGCAATTTATTCAACAAACGTTTATTAAGTGTTCATATGCCAAAAACTATGGTATGGAAATGCAAAAATAAAGAACATTCCTTTTCCTGCCCTTAAGGAGCTCACATTCTAGTAAAGGAGACTTTAAAAAATAATACAGTACAATAAGCAACACACAATAGAGGTAGGTTGTAATTACAGTGGCGACACAAAAGAGGGCATTAGACAACTCGCCTTGAAAGGAGCAAGGGAGAGATCACAGAGAGGCTTAAGTTGGGCCTGAAAGGATGTGTAGGAATTTTCCAGGTGGGGAAGGATGGCTAGGGCACTCGGCAGAGTTAACATCACCATGGTGTGGTCGTCTGGCCATATGGAGAACTTTAAGTCAGTTTTTATTAGACACTGGGTGGGGGAAAAAACCCAGAGGACTTTGTACACCAAGCAAAGGAATTTGGCTTTCTCCTGAAGGTTCACGAAATCACTGCAGAATGTTAAGTAGGGAGCAACGCTGTCAGAGTACTTCCAAAAAGCCTACTCTGATAACATTGGAGACCAAGAGATGGGTTGGGTCTAAGGAGACAAGTTAGTGGTATTTCAGGTAATAGCAGTGAAAATGGAAAGAGTGATGCATCAGGGAGGTAGAGATAAAATCAGTGCTATTTGGATGCTAATTGATGGCAGGAAGGTAGAGGAGAGGCGTGAGCCCAGAATGCTTAGAAGATGATGGTTCTGAAATTAAAGAAAGGAACACAGGCATCAGAGTCAGTTTGGGGGAGATACACAGGTGGGACAACTGAGTGAAGTGCAATAGGCAGGTGGATTTAGAAGTTTGGGCTAAAGAGAAGATTTAGGAATTGTTGGATTGGAATCACCCAAGAGCAAGAAGCGGTGATTTAAAGAGTGAGAATGAAGTCCTGACTGAGGGGTGAGTGAAGAGGCTGGAGGAGGGGTTCACAAGTGAGCAGAGATAAGGGCCAAACTCAAAGATCTTTAGAAAGGGTTATCAGGTGTGCCAAACGCAGACAAGGTCAAGTAAGAAATGGCTTATGAACTGAACTGTGGATTTAGAATTAAGATTTTAGACTTTACAGGAAAGGATTGTTCAGAACCACAAGGCCTAATGCCAGGTTTTAGTTAAGGAACAAGTGGAAAGTAACAAAGTGAAAGTAGGGACATTTCAAAGAGACTGGATGTAAAAAAAAGGGGGGGGCAGCGGGAGGCAGCATGACTCAGGCTACACACAGCATTACCACGTGAGCCCATCACCCACATTCTCAGAAGGCTACAAATGCCCTAATAACACGTAGCGATCACCTCACAGGCTCCCAAAGGACTGGCTTAATCTAGGGGGTTAATGGCTTTCTTTTCCTGCCCTGTTCAGAGAAAATGAAGAGGAAAAGGAAAACAGGACACATTATTAAACTTAGTTCTGTGATTATTCATTTAAAAATACACTGAATACATATTCATACATTCATTGAACACATATTTGATACTGTGTGCCTGGCACTGTACCAGGCCTTAGGGACAAACAAGAAAAAGTATACAGCAATATAAAGAGACATTTCTAAATGATTATATAAATAAACCCTGCTTTACTAATAACGTGACATCTCAACACATCATATGTATGTAGCTGCTAAGACATATATAAAAAGGGCACAGGATTTTGAGGTATACAATTTCTGTTTCCCTACGGTTACCATATGACATAAATTCCTGATCCTTCAAATATTTTTATCACTGAAGAGCTTTCACTAATGAAAACCTCGTAAAATTATGGTTCAGTTTTAGGGAGGCAAAGGAAATGAACTTCATGTACAAAAAAAAAAATTAAGCTGGGCATGGTGGCACACACCTGTTGTCCCAGCTAATCAGAAGGCTGAGGAGTCCAGCCTGGGCAACATGACAAGATCCTTGTCTCTAAAGAATGTTTCTCAATTAAAATTTTTTTAAATAAATTGCATGCCCTATGATATCATATCAAGCATAAAAAGGGCAACAAAGTGAGAAGAACTTGAGATTGGAACTTGAAATGATTCCTTATTCTAAGGCTTATAATATGATAATACCAGATTTGAGGAGTTTTTTCCTGAGAAAATAATTTTTAGAAATTAGTATTACACACTGAAGTATTGTGAGTCAAAAGGACATACCTGACTTTCAGATAACTGAGATAAAAACGGTGGGTGTGTCTATACACAGAGAGCATGACAGAGAAACACAAACAGGTAAAAGAGCTCTTTATACTACTAATACTTCTGAAATTCTTCTGTGAATTTGAAATTATATAAAAGTAAAAGGTTTCCTCCTACTTTTATTCAGTATTAGGGAAAGTATGATGAGAATAAATATATAATCGATTCAACTTTTCACAATGTTTAGAAATCCTATATGCCTTTGAGTTGTGATTGTACCTTATTACATGCAAACAACCCAGTCACAATAGCAATTTAATTCTAGAAGTGACTTGCTTCATGCCAGTGTTCTCATGTTGCAGATAAAACACAAGACTCCCAGTTTAATTTGAATTTCAAACAAATAATGAATAATTTTTCAGTATGTCCCAAATATTGCATGCTTCTATTAAGAAACTAGTTGTTTACTTGAAATTCAAATCTAACTGGGCATTCTTTGTTTTTATTTGCTAAATGTACCAACCCTCAGTGTATTGAAAGATTCTGGGTTGTTAATTATGGATCATTCACGAGCCTCCTTAGCAATTTCCTATTAAATGCTTATCACATTTGCCACAGTTTTATTTACATTACATCTTACACAAAACTCTAGTCTGAGACTTAAAACATCATTCACTTAATTTTATCATATACGAAATTGATAATCCTGCTTTTATTCAACACTGAACTTTAAAATTTGTACATTAAAGTATTACTTTTATTCACAATTATTATACATAGACTTAGCACGATTTAAAAATTGTTTACTTAAAACAATATAATTCTCCCTTTACAAAAGCAACTTCATATAAAATGTTTGGCTTAAGACTGTCATTGCTATGATGCCTTTGAATCAAATTCCACTCTTTGGCCTCCACTGTCCAGAAACAGGCACATTTCAAGTCGTTTTCTTTAATGAATATTCTGTAACAAGTTCCTGAAGTTTTCTAATTCTTTCACACTTGTAGATATTCTGTAACCAAAAAATATTCCACTCAGAAACCATTTGAGATAAATTTTCTCTGTAAAAGTTACCAACACTACATTTTTAAGACATAGAAAATTTTCAAAGTAATTTAATTCAACAAATTTAAAAGTATATAAACCATTTAATCTATTTTGATAGACTTTAGGTCTTAATTTGACATGGTAAAACTAAAATATTATCTATAGTTATCTTCAAAGTATTAAATATAAAATATGTAAGTATTAAAATACTTATGCATTTTAAGTAGTCACAAGCATATTCATTTACTTAGTATTAAAGTATTTGGTATAAAACATGTAAGTATTAAAATATTCATTTGCTTAGTAATAAAGTATTGGTATAAAAACTTAAGTAATAAAATATTTAGGTATTTTAAGTATTTCTAAGTATATTCATGTGCTTACTATTAAAATAAGTATACAAACATAGAAATGTTAAAAGTTTTAAAAATATGAGTAAGTTTATAGAAAAATGCTATGGCCTAATTAGAAAATGCACATACAAAGAATCAAACCTATAAAGAAGGCCGTGCACGGTGGCTCACACCTGCCTGTAATCCCAGCATTCTGGGAGGCGGAGGCAGGTGGATTACTTAAGCTCAGAGCTTAGGAGTTGGAGACTGGCCTGAGCAAGAGTGAGACCTGGTTTCTACTAAAAATAGAAAAAGTAGCCCAGCACTGGTAGGTGTCTGTGGTCCCAGCTACTCTAAGGCTGAGACAAGAGGAACTGTTGAGCCCAGGAGTTTGAGGTTGCTGTGAGTTATGACACCATAGCACTCTAGCCTGGGCAGCAGTGAGACTCTGTCTCAAAAAAGAATAAAAAAGGGTGGGGCAGTGCCTGTGGCTCAAGGAGTAGGGCGCCTGCCCCATATACCGGAGGTGGTGGGTTCAAACCTGGCTCCAGCTAAAAAAAAAAAAAAAGGGTGAAAATAGTACATGTGTAGCAGAATTGTTTTCACTAATTTTATTTATCTATTTTTTTGAGACAGAGTCTCACTTTGTTGCCCTTGGTAGAGTGCCATGGTATCGTAGCTCACAGCAACCTCAAACTCTTGGGCTCAAGTGATCCTCTTGCCTCAGCCTCCTGAGTAGCTGGGACTTCAGATGCACACCCCAACGCCCGGCTAGTTTTTCTATTTTGAGTAGAGATAGGGGCTCGCTCTTGCTCATTTTGGTCTCAAGCTCCGAAGCTCAAGCAAACCTCCTCACCTTGGCCACCTGGAGCGTGAGCGTTATAGGCGTTAGCCACTGTGCCCTGGCCTTTTTTCACTAATTTTTTATAAAAAGTCAGATCTGTTCCTTATTTTAAGTGTACTTTAGCTTTGTTCTCTACCATGAAAAAGTAGAATACTCAATGAAATATAACTGTCAAGCTCCTAGATGCTAGAAAAATAATTTTTAAGGTCAATTTCTTTAAGCTCAAAATATTAAATCAAAAAGTTTTCAAAGTGAATCTTTAAAATTTATAAATCTTGGCATTCTCTGCATAATAGGCCAGAAGGAAATGCACCTTTACTTAAATATTTTATTTATCTCGTTCTTTTACTCCAGTTATTCTGACAGAAAATAATTATTTTTAAAAGAATTATTAACCTTTTTATATAATGGTAAATTCGCAGAAATTTACATATACACCCATATTAAAAAATGTAAAATTTATTCAGGACAAGCACAATAAATAGCTTTTAAACAATTAAAAAATATATATGAATTCAATATATGAATTTTGAAATCAGTAAATTATGATTATAAAAGTCAATAGATAAAAATACAGAATAGATCATGTAATGATTTTGTGTCCACATACATAAAATGTGTATGAAATCATGGAATTCTGTAATGAAACAATTTCACTAAACAGGATACTCCTTACCCACTTTTACCTGAAATTATAGGTAATGCATTACTTACTCAGCTAGCAGAAACAATTTCAGTACATTCAAACTAACCTTCCAAATGCATTAAATAATGATACTATTTCTTGTCTGGTTAGATGGAATTCGTAACTGGGTCCACTTTCTGGCATATTTGCTATCAGTTTCTCTGAAAACAAGATCTTCAGAGCAGTACCCAAACCCTGAGTCTGTAACAGAAATTCAAAAAATAAGATGAAGAAGAAAATTCTTGGTGCAAAGGATAAATGAGAAATAGGGTTGGCTAGATTTGCTTACCTGAAGCTTTCCCCACAGTCGACACTTAAAACAACCAACACAGTCCATGATTCTTGAAATATTTCTAAAATGCAGTCGAAAGTCCTCCTAAAAACAGTTTAACAAAATACACAATACATAATCCACTAATCAGGTATTTTCTGAATGCCTTTTACGTGCCTAACAGGACGCAAGGTGTCCAGGGACCAGGAAGGAGAAAAGAACTAACACTGCCTGAACACCTGCTGCACCCCAGAATCTGCACATATATAATCCCACTTAAACTTCACCACAGATCCCAAAATAGACACTATTATAATCAACACCTAATCAATTAAAAAAACAAGATTCAGAGAGGTGAGGGAATTTGCCTAAATTCCCACACTTAGTAAACAGCAAACTTACTCCAAAGTTGCTTGACTACTAACTCCAAAGCTAAACTATCTGCAAAAAATATACAAGGGTAACTTAGTTGAGGTTTCCTGCTGTGATTATTAAATGTCAATATGGTGACCTGTGTGGAAAGTTTGGAGGTTATCATTTTATAGAAGGAAGGGAGGGAGGGAGGAAAAAGGAAAAAAAAAACCCGTTTGTTTCAGAATAGCTGAATTTCAGCCTTGCTTTCTGGTATTAATTAGGTAAGACAATCAGATTTTTTTTTTTTTTTGGAGCCAGGGTCTCCCTCTGTCACCCAGGCTGGACTGCAGTGGCACAATGTAACACACTGCAACCACAAACTCCTAGCCCCCGCCATCCTCCCACCTCCCAGCCTCCTCAGTAGCTAGGATAGAAGTATACATCACCACACCCAACTTTAAAGACAGGGTCTTGCTATGCTGCCCAGGCTAGCCTCAAATTCCTGGCCTCAAGCAATCCTCCTTTTATTATTATTAATGTACAAACTTGTACAAGATACACTGAACATCCATGTACCCACCACCACCAGGTTTTAGCAAGAAATAAGTACAGGCTCAGCTCAAGCAGTGAAGGCGCCAGCCACATACACCAGAACTGGCGGGTGTGAATCCAGCCTGGGCCTGCCAAACAACAATGACAACTACAACCAAAAAATAGCTAGGCATTGTGGCAGGCACCTGTAGTCCCAGCTACTTGGGAGGCTGAGGTAAGAGAATCACTTAAGCCCAAGAGTTAGGTTGCTGTGAGCTGTGATGCCACAGTACTCTACCTAGGGTGACAGCTTAAGGTTCTGTCTCACTATCTCAAAAAAAAAAGAAAAGAAAAGAAAAGAAAAGAAACAAACAAACAAGTATAATTGCCACCCTCCTACCTATCCCTCCAAAGTCCTAAATCCTACCCTCAATTATTATGCTGAATTTGCTACTAATTGTTCTTTTTTTATACTTTTAATACATATGTATCTAGTGTATAACACTAGAGTATTATATCATTTATAACAGGATAACATGCATTCAGCTTATCCTAAAGTGTATTTGTCCTTGAGGAATATGGAGAAAAGAAGAGAAACTGAGACCACATCCTTGTTTTACTCCAGTGGAAACCATCACTTGATCCTCTAAGTAACTCCCTCTGTCCTGGACTCAGCCGAATCCCAAGCTTACAGTAGTGAAGGCAGAAAATTTGACACACATTTCAGATAGAATATCAATTATACCAGGTGGCCTATAATTTAGGGAACAAGCAGTATTTTTCTTTTTTAATGTGATAAACCACACACTGGGCTCAACCACATGAGAACAGGATCACAGATCTAAAATAGAAATAACTCAGCAAAGCCTGGAACCCACTATTGAAAGCAGACCTCAGTGTGCTCTAAAGACAGACTCTCCCCAGATGCTTTACTCAGCTTGAGACTCTGAAGCAGCTGTAACATGTAAAAGATTTTTAACAGAATCCCAGATCTCATCTTTATTAATTTAATACAAAGCCAAAATTATTAACATTAATTATTGTCATTTGTTAACAATATTCTCTATCTTGTGTTTCTGTACCTGTTCAGTAAGACGTACAATTCTAAACCTTCTATTAAAAAGAACTATCCAATAATGCTACTCTGGATAGATTCTGAATTTATTTTTTTATTTCCTTTAGTATTTTAACAGTGACTTGAAGAAAACTCACACATTTAACAACAGAGTATTTTCCCATCTGCTGAGTTGTTGACCACTGTGCGACTTAAGGGCCCTTATTAGTGTCTAGAAAATGCAAACGTTGACAAGATTGTATATAGACAGAATAAATTAACTCACATGTGTGGATTACAAATTTCTAAATGGATATAAATGTTATGATCAATAAAACACAACTTTTACTTTAAAAGTGTTACTGACCACCTAGTGGCTTTTTCAAAATTATATTTTCACAATCAATAGATACTAAAAATATACTGATGGGAAGAGGCCTTGAAAGTTTCTGACTTTAAGGGACTCTCACAGTTAAAAGGTTGGAGGCCTCTGTTCTAAAAGATGATGCTTACTTTTGGAGACAATGTCTAAATTCAGCTTTTGAAATCTACTTACTGAAACACTTGCAGGTGACAGTTCCTGAGCAAATCTTTATAGAAGGTACAGAGAACAGGCATGGTTGCTACAAAAGCCACACAAACACTGGAACATGGAAACAAAGCACATGAAACAGCCTCCATCTCCTGCTTACGTGAACTTAACATGCTGGGACCAAATCTACCACATTGGAGAAAATCCCTGTGACTTCCACAAACAATAATCATGCCAAATAACCTGAGACAGCCCCAAATTATCTCAGATTAGAAAAATTTATGATCCTTAAAATGACCAGAACATAAGTCACTTACACATTTTCCTTGTCTGGGCATACAGTTTGAGGCAATCATTTTAAGTTACAGCCAGTCAAGAGAACAATGAAGCATGCTGGGATTTTCTTTTTTCTTCTTTTTTTTCTTTTTTGAGACAGAGTCTCACTACGTTGCCCTTGGTAGAATGCCAGGGCGTCATAGCTCACAGCAAACTCAAACTCTTGGGCTAAAGAGATTCTCTTCCCTCAGCCTCCTAAGTAGCTGGGACTACAGGTGCCCACCACAACGCCCAGCTGTTTTTTGTTGCAGTTGTCATTGTTTAGCTGGCCTGGGCAGGGTTTGAACCCCCAGCCTCAGTGTATGTGGCCAGCGCCCTAACCACTGAGCTACGGGCGCCAAGCCAATATATGCAGTGATTTTCATACAATGAAACCAAATGACCAGTTCTCACACAAATTCTCAAATGTTTTATAAGCCTTGAAGTGAGATCACAATGTGTTTTTAATTAGACACTAAATTCTCTTACATGCAAGTTCTATGTTGTAACCATATAAAGGAGATGATTTTTTAAATGAATTTATTAAGTAGGACTGTTCAAATGTATGTTTTAAAAAGTAAATCTCTGACATTAACCTGTTGTCTTTTTACTTCTTCCCTGTAAAAGACTAAAAAAGCGTCTGTTAAGTACAAACTCTCTATATAAATTTTATATGCTATCAAAGCTAACTGTTGTGGAGCTTTGATCAAATTAAAACTTTATGAGAAATTCTCCTAATCTGCAGAATCTAAAAAGAGCTGATGCCAAAGCACTTTCCAATAAACCAGCAAGTATACTAAAAATAAAGAACATATTGAAAATAGGAAAAGAAAAAAGAAGTCTCCTTTCAGCATCTCCCCCTCATTTCCAGGTTCCTGGATGCTGTTTGGGAGATTATATAAGCACTGGGTACGTATTTATGGCAAGAGTGCTTTCAGCAGGAGGTAGAGGGGAAGTCAAGAGTAACCATTATCTAACAGCAAAAAACTGAGTACAGGCCGGGTGCGGGGGCAGCTCACCCCTGGAATCCCAGCACTCTGGGAGGCCAAGGCAGGAGTGCCTGAGCTCCAGAGTTTGAGACCAGCCTGAGCAAAGCAACACCCCATCTCTACTAAAAATAGAAAAACGAGCTAGGTGTGGTGGGCACACACCTGTAGTCCCAGCTTCTCAGGAGGCGGAGGCAAGAGGATCCTTTGAGCCCAGGAGTCTGAGGTTGCTGTGAGCTGTGATGATGCCACCACAGTACTCAACTCAGGAGAAACAGTGACAGTCTCAAAAAAAAAAAAAAAAAAACAAAACCCAGAAAACTGAGCCCAAAAATGTATTTCATTTGCAATCTGCATAAAATCAAGTTCTTTCATTATGGAAAGAAACAAAAAATAAGCAGAGAAAGGTTGTTACATTTTGGTGAAATGAGATCAAGCCTAGAGGTCCTGAGGGCCACCTGCCTTCATCTGCCTTTAGCTCTGTAAGACAGAGCAGTGAGATCATTATACTTGATTCTCTGGAAATCCCTTGAAGGTAGGAGCTATCTGTCTCTTTAATGATCAAAATCATGCTCTGTACATAAACAGTATTTAATAAATCGTCTGAGTAATACTTTGTTTGTAGCATTTGGAGGCAAATACATGCTCAGAGATGGTCACACCCATATTAAATGGCCTGCGGTCAGACTCTACCAGACCCTGTTTTGTGGGCTGTCAGGTCAGGTCTGCCTTTTCCCCACTGGTGTTCCTCACTGCCTGTCATTCCCAGCAAATAAGATGAATGATAAAACATCATGCCGTGGCCTCTTCCCCTAAAGAGCTTTCAATTTAACCAATACCATTTTTGGAATTCTCCTCAGCAAAAAATGGACTAATACTGCCATTTAGAAAGTCTGACAATTAAGGTCATGAGCTTGCCACCATGCACAGAGGTTGGCAGCGCTTTACAAGCAGTGCAGTCGTTTCCTGACCTTGGGGCCACACGTCTCACAGCTGTGTTCGTGCTGACATGTGGCACTGCCTTGCGGAGGGGTGTTCATTATTGTTGTGTAGTTTTTATAAGCTGCCATGAAAATGGTGGCACCTAATTAGACCAATGAACAAACATTCGTTTATTTCATGTTAAACTTGGTGAGAGTATATAACTAAGAAAAAGACATGAAGGCTGTGTTAACCAGTTGGATGAAAGTATTTCAAATTGTATACAGAAACAGTACACTGTACCCCATGATAGTATTAATGTACACTGCTATGATTTAATAAAAAAAATAAATTAAAAACAAAAAATTTAAAAGAAAAACTTGGTAAGAGTAGAAATGAAATCAGGGACACATTGGTCCAAGTTTATGGGGATAATGCCATGAGGAACATGGCAGGGTACAAAAGAATTAATTGTTTTTCTGAGGGGAGAGAAAACATCACTGATGAACAGAGGTCAAGGTGGCCAGTAATGACCAGAACTGACTACACATTGCAAAGATTAGTCAAATTGTGTGTCAAAATAGTCAGTGGACTGTGAGAAGCACAGCAGCCCAAGTAAACATAGACAGAGAAACAGAAGATCTGAACTGAGATCTGGGCACGAGAAAGGAGCGTGCAAACACGGTCTGAAGGAGCTCACCAACCACACTGTCTGGGAGGGAGTTTTTTTTTGGCCGGGGCTGGGTTTGAACCTGCCACCTCCGGCATATGGGGCTTGCACCCTACCCTTTTGAGCCATAGGTGCCACCCTGGAAGGGAGTTTTTAGCCAGAAACAAATCACTGAAGTGGAGCACCCTCCCTACTCACCTGGTCTGGCCCCAGTGACTATTTTCCTTACCCAGAGATAAAGGAAAGACTGAAAGGAAGACATTTTGATGACATTCAGGACCCCAAGGGTAATTATGAAGACAGCTCTGAGGGCCATTCAGAAAAAGAGTTCCAAAATTACTTTCAAGAGTGGACTAGGCACTGGTTTCAGTGCACAGCTTCCCACGGGGAGGACTTTAGAAGTGACCGTGGGGGATTCAGCAATGAAGTATGCAGCATTTTTCTAGGATGAATTCACGAACTTGTCAGGCCATGTACGCACTGGATCCCTTTCCTTGAACTTATTACCTCCATTACATAAGAACATCAAGGTGAAAGCTGTTTTTAAAGTAGACTGTAATACACAGGTATCAGTTGTTATTTTTAATATAATACAAAACAGATCTTAAGTTGGACCTACTTTTAGATTTTTTCTTTTTTGAGAAAAAGAAAAGATTGTGACTGGTTTTTCTTGTATGTCAAGATATGTATATACATACACAGGCAACCAAGAATTACTGCTAAGTATAAATATAAACATGATTGATTTTCTTTCTTTACATCTTTTAAAATTTTTTTTTTTTTTCGCACAGGCCCTTACTCTGTCACCCAGGCTAGAGTACAGTGGCATCATCATAACTCACTGCAGCCTTAAACTCCTGGGCTCGAGGGATCCTCCTGCCCTAGCCTCCCAGCAACTGAGACTATAAGCATGTGCCACCATACCCAGCAATACTTTTTTAATGTTTTAGGTACAGGATCTTGCTATGTTACCCAGGTTGGACTCTGGCCTCAAGCAATCCTCCTGCCTCAGCCTCCCAGTGCTGGGATTAGAAACATGAGCCACCACAGCTGGCCTTTATTTTTTTAAATTGATAAATAGTAACTGTATCTGTTTATGGGTACAATGTGATATATATATATACACACACACACACACACAGAGGCCCCAGTGACTTTTTTCAAGTTGGAATGATTAAATCCATCACTTTCACATATATAAAAATCTTCTTGTGGTGGAATCTTCTCTTTTAGCTATTTTTACACATACAATGCATTATTATAGTCACCATTCTGTACAATAAATCTCTAAAATGTATTCCCTCTGTTTAATTGAAACTTTTGATTTTTTTTAAGAGTTTGCTGCTTTATTTTTTTTTTTTATTTTCTTTTTTTTGAGACAGAGTCTCAAGCTGTCACCCTGGGTCAAGTGCCATGGCGTCACAGCTCACAGCAACCTCCAACTCTTGGGCTCAAGTGATCCTCTTGCCTCTGTTTCTCTATTTTTAGTAGAGATGGGGTCTTACTTTTGCTCAGGCTGCTCTTGAACTTCTGAGCCCAAGCAATCCACCCCCCTCAGCCTCCCCGAGGGCTGGGATTATAGGTGTGAGCCAGTGTGCCCGGCGCTGGTAACCAGCACTCCAGTCTCGACTTCAGTCACAGGCAGGTTTATATTCATACTCATGTCAGTGTTAATCAGTTTGTATCTAACAATTAAGTGAAAGTTTAGAATAATTACCTTTAGTTTCTGTGCTTCTTTTTTATCTCCAGCAAAAAATGAATTCTCATCAAAATGCAATGGAAATGACCTGCATTTTAAAACAAAATAGTCATTTTCATGCGTTATAAATATTAAAAGTACCAATAACACATTTTGTTGGTCATGATAAATACAGTATAATTAAAATAGAGTAGATACATTATAAAACCAAACCTCAGATGCCCAAAACAAATTCTACTACTCAAACATTAACCCTAACTGCATAATTTAGAAGTCTGGCCCCAAACTCAACTGGCTCAACTAAATATGAAAATAATACAAGTATCAAATACTAAAAGAATGGCTCTTAAAACTGCCTCTCAGTATGCAGGCAAAAACAAGCAAAAAAAGGTAACATCTGGGCAGCACCTGTGGCTCAAAAGGGTGGCTCATAGGGTGCCAGCCCCGTATACCGAGGGTGGCGTTTCAAACCCAGCCCCAGCCAAAAACTACAAAAAAAAAGGTAACATCAACTCTAAAAGACCTACAAGCTAAATTAGCTTTTAATTATTTTTTAAATAGTTCCCTTTTTCTAAATGAAAATTTAAAAATTTAATTTTGGATGTCGTTTGTTACTGTTCTATTAATGTGTAAGTTATAATATATAGTTTACTTGATTTCATGAAGTATTTCCAGAAGTAACATTTTGTTTTCTGCATCCTGAATTTTATTTCCAGTGAAGAGTTGAAAATCTGGGCGCTCAAAAAATGGTAACACTTTAGATAAAGCCCTTAATTCTATTAAGTAAAGAAAATACAAGTTCTTCAGCCTTCGTGGACCTTCTCCTTCAGTTAAAATTCCGTCAAACCGCTGCTGAAATTCCGTAATGTTGTGTCCCCATTTCTTTTCCAACCAAGTTTCTGGTAAGAAAGAATTAAGTATTAACATACTTAATTTTATTAAAATTGAATTTTGTAATCAAGTACTTTTCATTTTATTTATTTATTTATTTTTGAGACAGTCTCATTATGTCGTCCCCGGTAGAGTGCTGTGGCGTCACAGCACACAGCAACCTCCAACTCTTGGACTTAAGCGATTCTCTTGCCTCAGCCTCCAGTAGCTGGGACTATAGGCACTCACCACAACACCTGGCTACTTTTTTGTTGTAGTTGTCATTGCTGTTTAGCAGACCCAGCTGGATTCAAACCTGCCAGTCCTGGTATATGTGGCTGGCATCCTAGCCACTGAGCTACAGGTGCCAAGCCATATTTTTCATTTTAACTATATCGGGTTATTTATGCCTACAGAAAATAGCTTCATATTGTGGTTTAAAATACAGCCTAACTATAGCCAACAAAAAAGTTTTTCATAATTTAGCCTTTATAGGACTATATTAATATTTTTTTGTAAAACTCATCCATAAAAGTAAAATGAATTCAATGCTATACTGACAAAATTTTAACAAAAATCAAATTTCTGAACATAAACATTCATAAAACCAAAATACACAATTAAAAACTGGTATTCTAGGCTTGGCACCTATAGCTCAAGTGGCTAAGGTGCCAGCCACATACACCAGAGCTAACAGGTTCGAATTCAGCCCAGGCCTACAAAACAATAATGACAACTACAACTAAAAAATAGCTGGGCATTGTGGCGGGTGCCTGTAGTCCCAGCTACTTGGGAGGCTGAGACAACAGAATCGCTTAAGCCCAGGAGTTGGTGGTTGCTGTGAGCTGTGATGCCACAACACTTTACCCAGGGCAAGAGCTTGAGGCTCTGTCTCAAAAAAAGAAAAGTGATATTGTGGCTCAGTGCCCACAGCACAGTGGTTAGGGCACCAACCACATATACCGAGGCTAGGGGGTTCGAACCAGCCCAGGCTACCTAAACAATAATGACAACTGTAAGAAAAAATAGCTGGGTGTTGGGCAGGCACCTGTAGTCCCAACTACTGAGAGGCTGAGGCAAGAGAACTGCTTAAGCCCAGGAGTTTGAGGTTGCTGTGAGCTGTGACACCACAGCACTCTACCAAGGGTGACATAGTAAGACTCTGTCTCAAAAAAAAATAACTGATATTCTGAACTAACTAATGAGTTAACAGTGTCATTTCAAATCAAAGTTACTATACTTTATTTCTAAGAGATAATAGATACTTTGATTCCAGAAAGAAATATGTCATTGATGAAAATCAGCCAAGGTCTCATTTTCAACAGCATCCGTAAAGCATGAAGAGCAGTAGACGGTGCTTTAGCCCATGAAAACTCCAGGCCCCACATCGGCACAGAAGTGAGGTTCTGATACAGTATAGCTAACCAATAACTGGGCTGCGAGGAGCTATTTAATTTCCCACAAAACTAATATTTCCAAACAGATGTATATGATTTTGAGCAGCTTATTATAAGAAAGTGAAGATAGCTAAGAATATGCCATACTTTCCAACTGTGGTTATGGTCTCCACATTCCTGATTATCACCATTTAATAATGGATTTTTAGGCTGGGCACGGTGGCTCACACCTGTAATCCTAGCACTCTCTGAGGCCAAGGCAGGTGGACTGTCAGAGCTCAGGAGTTTGAGACCCTGTTTCTAAAATATAGCTGGGTGTTGTGGTGGGCCCCTGCAATCCCAGCTTCTTGGGAGGCTGACATAAGAGGATCACTTGAGCCCAAGAGTTTGAGGTTGCTGTGAGCTGTGATGTCAGAGCACCAGAGCACTCTACAGAGAGTGACAAAGTGAGAGTCTGTCTCAAAAAAAAGGTGGTAAAGTGAACAAAAGTAAATGCCACATACCTTGCAAAAGATATCTTGCACTCAGATGCACATTAATGCTTGCATGTAGACCAGATATGAGTCTGTAGAATGCTCTTTTTTCTACACAGAGTCCTAAAAGAAAATCAGTGATTTATAACATGCAAATCCTGTATATACAAAATGAATTTATCTCTTTAATGAGAAAAAATTTATCACTTAAACTTATTTTAAAATTTCCAATTACCTTCTAGCCAACTGTAAAAAGTGTTCTCTGAAATTGAAAGAAAAATAAGTCATTAAGATTATTAAATGTAAAAAAAAAAGAGATTATTAAAATGCCAAAACATAAGTTTTTCAAATTTTAAATCATTTTTAAATTTTTTCCAAACATTGATTTGAAAATTGTTTAACCTTAAGGCTCAAGTCTTATCTGCAGTTTCTCCAAAAAAAGAAGTTCTCAGTATGGATTCAGGGCTTACTCTTTTAAAAGGCTTTAGCATTCACTTGGGGGGCCCGAATAACTTTGTGGATTTTATATAAGGTCAAAATACAGAATTTAAATAGTAAATCAGGCTCAGCGCCTGTGGCTCAAGTGGCTAAGGCGCCAGCCACGTACACCCAAGGTGGCAGGTTCGAATCCAGCCCAGGCCACCAAACAACAATGACGGCTGCAACCAAAAAAATAGCCGGCGTTGTAGCAGGCACCTGTGGTCCCAGCTACCTGGGAGGCTGAGGCAGGAGACTCGCTTGAGCCTAGGAGTTGGAGGTTGCTGTGAGCTGAAATGCCATGGTACTCTACCCAGGGGGACAGCTTGAGGCTCCTGACTCAAAATAAATAAATAAATACATAGTAAATCAACCAAGAATAGTAAAATACCTAGCCTTGACAACAATTCATACCATGAAAACTAAGGATTCGTTATAGGCTTTTTAAATTAGAAAAATAAATAAAAATTATAAAGTAGTATTGCTGACTGGGCTCTGTGGCTCATGCCTGTTATTTTACCACTTTGTAAGGCCAAGTCAGGAGGATTACTTGAGGCCAGAAGTTCAAGACCAGCCTGGCAACATAGTGAGAGCCTGTCTCTACAAAAAAATACAAAACTTAGCCAGGGTTGGTGTCACATGCCTATGGTCCCAACTCCTCAGGAAGCTGAGGTGTGAGGATCATTTTAGCACAGAAGAGGCTACATTAAGCCATGATTGTAACACTGCACTCCAGCCTGGGTGAGAGAGAGAGAGACTCTGTCTCCAATAAAATAAAATAGTATTAGAGGTATAATATTTGTACATAGTTGACATTATGTGTCCTTAACTATTTCAGAAGAGCAATTCAGGGAAATGTTACAGAACACCACGTATGACTGAGCTACAACACAGTAAGAACACTGCGAATGGACACAGACCTGCAAGTCTGCTTTTAGAATTACGCACTAAAGAATTAACTCAAAATGAGAAATTTGCAGAAAGATGATGTTATTCATGATTTTTAGAACCTGAAATAACCAAACCATGATTTTTAGAACCTGAAATAACCAAAAACTGTAATAATGTCTAATGTAATAATTAATTGCTATGGTAAAATAACACATGACTATTAAGACGGCAAGAATGCAGAAGATGAAAACACATAAAAATATTTACATGAAATAGCATATAAAGGCTTAAGAAACAATTAAGTAAAAATCCACACACACATTGGGTGCAGAGACAGTAAACACTGGCAGTGTGTTAGCTGTGGTTGCCACAGTAATGTTAAACACGGACCAGACAAGCACGAAAGTCCCGAGAGGGATGACAGGGGAACAGGCGCTGACCACAGAAAAACGTGCAACGCCCATGTGTCAGCAAACGCCATAAACAAAAGCAATATGCAAACAACAAAGTGGTAAATGGACGTTACAAATAGACAAAGAGATAATACTCTAAACACACAACAAACTCCTAAGTCAAACTAAAAATCCCAAAGTGCTCATTAAAAAGGATGAAAATAAAATAGAAAATTCACAAAAGAAAAAATACAAATAAAAACTAATCTATCTTACTAGTAATAAAAATGCAAATTAAAACCAAAGATATACCATTTTTACCTATTAAATGAGTAAAGATAAGGAGAGAGTAATATTTAATTCTGACAAGGGTTTGATAAATATATACACACACATCTGTATTAAATACAATGTTAAGAGACATGTATCAGGGAGTAAGGTGTGGTCTCTGGACCACACTGCCTGACGGGATCCCAACTCTGCTTCTTACAGACCTTGTGATGATCACCAAGTGGCTGCATTTTTACTTGTTTTCCTCTTATATAAAATGGGACAAAAACATTTCCTAGGATTACGGAAGAATTAAATGAAATCATCTGCATAAATTACTTAGACGAGCACTTGGCACATAGCCATCACCACTAGTTATTTTATGGTTGCGGGGATTTGTTCCTTATAAAAGTTTTCAAGGTTTTTTGTTTTGTTTGTTTGTTCGTTTTTTGCCAAATTTTTGAACATGAACTCAGGAGCTGGGGGATAAAACTGCTTAAGACCTAGCCTTCCAGTAAAATCTTCAGTTCAGTTTTATAATCCTGACGTAGCTATTCTCAACTTGACCTGACTATGGTCTAGTTAAATAATCACCTGTCAAGAACGAAGACCGATTAATTTGACAACAGTCAGGAAAAGCTACTTGATAACTGGCCAGAGTTAACACTGATAAATAAGATTGTTTCTCTAAGGATAGCTCCCTCAGGTTAATAATCTTTTATCTGATAACAAGAGATGGTTGTCTTCTATTTGAAAAACCAAAGTAGCTTCCTCTAATGTGACTAGAATACAGCATAAAACTAGATTGTTGTCCAAGATACAGTAAAGTTACACAAAACTGAAAATTATAGGATCACTTCCACCAGTAACAAATAGGAGGGATCTGTGGAAAACTAATCTTGCTGCTAAGTAACCTCTCTCCCAATCAGTACAGTTCCGATACTTCGTTTAGCTGCTATAGTTACTGTGATATGTGTAATGTAAAGAACAGTAATAAAATAGCAAGGTCACTAGATTTTAGTATTCTGTTCCTTACATGTCATGCAAAAGCAACTCATAAAAACAGTGTTCAAAAGACAGAGGTTTGGAGGGAGAGAAAAGCTCCCACATTTTAGCAGTTTCATGTCCAAGCCCTGGTTGAGTCTTTTCACGTTGTCGAGCATGTGGTCTTACGAATAACAAAAATCATTTCAACTTCACACTTAAAGCAAAAAGATTCTGAACAAGACACAGTATACCTAACAACATATGTTACAATTCTTAGCATTGTTAACTTTGACTTGGCAATGACACCTGCACCCCAGTCAGCATAAGCCTTACAAGGTATTAATAGCTCTGCAATCAACACTCTGATCCTGCCCAGAAGCTTCCGACATGAGACCCAACAGATCTTAAGAGTTCAACAATCAAGGACTGAGGAGGAAGTTTTCCCGGCGGAGGAAGTTTTCCCGGCCAAGGCAGCGGGGAAGATGGTGAGGTGGATAAAATGTGCAGCCACTGCCAGAGGCTGAGGGGGGTAAAACGTGGGGCCACTACCAGAGGCTGAGGAGGGGCTGGGTCTCATGCCTAAGCCCAGACACAGAACGTCATTTCCCATTAATCTATATCTCCAGAATTTTAGATAAAGAAATAAAAATTAAGTTCTTTTGCTAAGTCTCAGAGTTAAGAAGAAAAAAAATAATAAACACTATAACATCTAAATGTGTAAGCAAATTCTTCATAATGATAAAAAGTTATACTTACCTTTACTTTTCCCTGAAAAGCAAAAGAAAATGTTTATTATTATAAACTCCTTCCAGCTGTCCCTCTCATAGTGCTGCACTCTCATAAAAATAAGACTTCTAAATAACACTTGGCTTTAGTCCATCAGTTCATTCACACTATTGAAATCTGAACGTGAGACACGCAGAACCACAGCTCTATCTAGTGCTGTGAATTATGCTGGATTCAACTACACGGTGATGCCTCCAGGAGTGTGCATGAGGGCATCCAGTTCACACCGGATGGAATACAGGCTGACAGGAGACAAATGGAATCCGTCACATGAGAGTATTCTCATTTATTTATTTTGAGACAGTTTTGAGCCCTGATGGTTGGGCTAGAGTACAATAGTGTGATCATACCTCACAGCATCTTTAAACTCTCAGGCTCAAGATAGCCTCCTGCCCCTCCTCCCAAGAAGCTGTGACTGAAGACACACACCACTATTCCTGGCTAATTTTTTTTTTTTTTTACAGTTTTTGGCCAGGGCTGGGTTTGAACCCACTACCTCCAGCATATGGGGTTGGCGCCCTACTCCTTTGAGCCACAGGCACCACCCCTCCTGGCTAATTTTTTATATTTTTTGTAGATAGAGCAGTCTTGCTATGTTGCCCCAGCTGGTCTATAACTCCTGGTCTCAAGTGGGATTACAGTTGTGAACTACTAGGCCCAGCCTGAGAATACTCTGAAGCATGTTAAGCAGTTTTGTTTATGTGGCTGGCAAAGCCTTTTTTCCCACATTTATTTATTCTAAATCTATAGCAGTTTCTGTTAAAGATTTGTTATTATTGCTTTGAAACCTCCAGACTGCCACTATATTTGACTGCAGTCATGTTATAGTCAGGAATATTTTCAAAGACTCTTTGTAAGATTCAAATTATACATAATGCAGCCCTTTGTATGCAACTCCTTATTTACAATTGAAAAACTGTCTTCATTTTGCCATTTGTGTTTGATTATTCAGGTAATATATACTCATTCTAAATATATGCTTAAAAAAAAGACACAGATGAAATTTAAAAATTACCCATAATCTTCTCTGCATAAAGATAAACACATTTTGGTAAATGTTCTTTTTCCTTGTACATAGATATTTAGATTATATTATTATAATTCTGTTTTAATAAAAATACACATATTGTTTTCATACCTGCTTCTTTTCCTCCACACCCTACTGATCACTTTTGATTTAAAAAAAGTCAAGTTACAGCAAGCTTTATAAGGCTGTATTCTACTATGTGGCTATATCATAAGTCATTTAACCAGCTTGCTAAAGATATACATTTAAATTGTTCCTGTTTATCTTTAAAGTGAGGGTGGTTAATTTATCAAATCATAATGTGAGTTTATAGTGAAAATCATCTCTTGTTAATGAATTTGCATTTAATCTGATATCACCACTGATACTACTTCCACTGATTCACCACGTGACTGTACAAACTGAAAAGCCTTTTTTAAAGACTGTTGTTCTTTTGTTCCTAAGAAACAGACGTCCGCCAGCATGTAGAGAATGATGCGATCTCACTGCTTTCCAGTATGAAATTTACATTTATTGACTATGAGATCAGCATCTCTTAAAACAAGCTTTAAAACTGAAAATCTTACACATTTCTAAATGTACATTAAAGATTTTATCAGCTCGGTGTAATGACTTACACCTGTAATCCTAGCACTCTGGGAGGTCAAGGTGGGGGGATCGCTTGAGCTCAGGAGTCTAGACCAACCTGAGCAAGAGCGAGACCCCAACACCTTTCAATGAAGACAGAAACTTCCAGTTATCACTTATCTAACAAACTCTTCCATCCACTGTGTGTCAGGCTGTTTGTGAACAGATAAAACAGATAAAAGCTGCCGATATGCTCCAAGTCTTAGGGGAGATCAATACAGATTTAAATAATAAAATAATGCCACACAGTGGGAAAGGCTACAAGAGGAAAACAAAGTGTGCCTAAGATTACTTCCAGGTCAGAGCACCAGGGGAAGAAGGTTTTTTTTTTTAGGAAAATGCAACATTTGAGCCAAACCTTGGATATACACAGAAAATGAAAAAGGTCAGTAAGATAAAAAGATGTGTGAATTTGGGCCCTGGTGAGTTGGCTCACACCTGTGATCCTAGCACTGTGAGAGACAGGAGGATCACTTGAGGTGAAGAGTTCAAGACCAGCTTGGACAAGGGTGAGACACACCATCTCAAAAAAAAAAGACAGGCAAGAATTTGAAATTAGACACCCAATTGATAAAGTAATTTCAAGTTTTGGGGAAAATTTCAGAAGTCTTTTGATATTTATTTATCTGGAAGATGAGCAAAAATTTTAAAACTGAACATATATTTTAATGTGTCTGCAAAAATGTACAGAAGAATGAAGATACATCCTAATCTTCATCCTGTGACAGTCTAGCACCATGAACTTCATTACTCAAGTGCAGGTACTGCAAACGTCGGTCTCTGCATGAGTGAGGCCCAGCTGCTGTGAACGCAGGACTAGGGTCACGTGACCGCAACTGTGCTCCATCCCCTTGCCTTCTCCTTCCCTCTCCTCAAAGTTGACTGGCTTATAAGCAACTAAACGAATCATAACTGACCTTGACCAGAAGCCAAAGGATTCAAAGGTCTTTTAATTGTCTGTGGCCTAGAAGAAAAAAATAACCAGTCATGTTATAATTATTTAAGTAACATTATCTCAGAAAGTTGCTTAAGGACCACATCTGAAATTCAATTGCCTTATTATGATCATAAAAGATTCAGTTTTCTCTAATTGCTATAAAGGAGGGCGGCTCTTATTTGTCTCAGCAATAATTGTTCCTCATCATTCCCACTGTAGCAGCCAGCAGGTCATTTCCCAATCAGGTCTCCAAGCAAAGGAAGAAGAAGTATCAGTCAAGCTCCACCCTGGAGTCACTGGCAGGCCTGTGTATGCATCATAGATACATATCTACATATGTGTGTGTGGGACACAAAATGTTCCCCTAATTGAAAGACAAGTAAGCAAAAAATACTCAATACAAGCATTAAATTAAAAAGTGGACAAACAAGGCTCGGCACCTATAGCTCAACCGGCTAAGGCACCAGCCACATATATCTAAGGTGGCAGGTTCGAATCCCCAGCCCGGACCCGCCAAAACAACAATGACGGCTGCAACCAAAAAACAGCCAGGAGTTGTGGCGGGCACCTGTGGTCCCAGCTACTTGGGAGGCGGAGGCAGGAGACTCGCTTGAGCCCAGGAGTTGGAGGTTGCTGTGAGCTATAATGCCACAGCACTCTACCCGGGGGACAGCTTGAGGCTCTGTCTCAAAAAAAAAAAAAGGTGGACAAGCAGTGTGGGTAGATTATCCTCACTCAGGTGCCCTTAGATGCTTTTTGCTTTCCAGCCAAGTCTATGATGACATAAATAAAAGGTTCTCTTTTTTTCATATAGAAAAAATGGCAGTTTTCTTGAGAGCTAATGTCACTAATTTGCTTTTAAATCCCAGAATAAACATGCATTAGTATTATTTGTAAAATGGAGCAATTGCGTGAATGTCCATAATTTAAAGTTTAAAAACATGCACAACTGGAGATATTGAGAGCAGAACATGTAAGCTGTATTCTAACATACTCAGTATAATTAACTTAGTGCCTCAGACATTGTTTATAGTGTTAGAAATTACAGGAATCAGGACATGAATTAGTTTAGGAAGTGGCTACAAAACTAAGATAAATCTGACAAGCCTTTCATGGACGCATTTAGTTCACATTAAAAACAGCAACAACAAAACCTTTAAAATAAATCTCAAAGTCAGTAAAACTAAAACAACAAAACCCTTAAGTCAATAAACCAAGAGTTCCTAATAACAGTCAAGAGAATTTAAATAAAACACATCACAAAAATAAGTAAATGATCAAAACTTTCCACTTTCTAAACTGAAGAAATTCTTCAAGAAAAAGAGAAAAAAAAAATCAAAATTTGAAAATCCAGGCTGATATTTTACTGGCATGAGTGTAACTGCTGATCTCACACCTGACTTAGAAAAAGTGAAACGTATTACCCTCATATTTAGGAACTCCAGATATTGTCCCAGAATTCTCTCAATCTCTAAAGCTATATGTGCACATAAATTCTCTCCAAAAACCAAGCAGCACACTACTCAGAGCCTCGAGGCTTACACGCAGGTAACACCTCCGTCACACGGTGAACAACATGACTGCTTCCATCCAAGAAGGGCTCTGCCACTGACAAGGCCTTTGGCGCTGAACAAATCACTTAACCTCGCTGAGTCTCAGTTTCTGTATCTGCAAAACAGTGGCCACCACAACACAAGTATTGCAAGGAAGACAGGGAGGGATGTACGCAGCACGCCGACCACAGTGCCCGCGAACCCCAAAAGCTCAAAAATGTTACCCTACCATAATTACTCTCTGAAACAGATTTAATGTTCCCTCTAAAGCAGGTAAACTAATTATAGCCAAAGAAAGGTGTATAGAGCACTAAAAAGAGAATTAAGAGTAGTGGATTCGAATCTATACCCTGCTGCTAACTGTATGATCTTGGGAAATGAAGTAAACCTCTCTGCCTCCATGTTACCGACTCTATAAAATGAGATTCTATCAATATAATCTGCTCATGGAGCAGGTACTCCGGAAATACTCTCATAAACCTCTAGTACTATTATAAGTCTTTTAAAGAGAAGAAAAATTGTTGGAACTCACAGCTATGTGTTTCCCCATGGGGGAACTGGATTAATGGATAGGTAGGTATGTTTTTATGTCCAAATACATCTTTTAACAAAGTGAATTTGATTTGTAATTTTAAGTTGTTACGATTTGTTTATGGAAAGAAATCACCACATCTTGCAGGAAATTTCTAAATGAAAACGACACATACTTGAAACAGTTTTCTTCGTAGATGACATTCCATATCTTCCAAGCATCTGGTCCCTTGTAACCCGTGTAGCGTTCAGGATTAAGGAGCAAATCTACATACTCAGCATCAGGAGAATGAATGTCTGTAAAATAAAATGTTTCATTAAATCTTTCTCATCTTCGGTTACCTTAAAAATCTACCACAAGAGACTACATTTTATTGAGGTATCACAAATCTAACAATGCATTGGGGATTTTAAAAAAACTTTTCAGAAAAAATAAAGGAAGGGAAAAACAAACAGTCACATCAACTATATACACTGACATCAAGAACACTCTCATTTAGAAATTAGGAATATGTCAATTTTAAAATTAAAGAAACACAGTAGTTCAATTCTTATAACCTATCCAGAAGACGAGTATAACATCCACTGTCTTACACACTGACCACAGTTCTTCAGTAACTAAGAAGATGAAGACGTCGGTGCCAGACACTGCTCATCACCAGATGCTTCCTTCTTAGAAGTCTGCCATTAGAATCCACTAGCAAGCTGTCCTAAAGATATAGATTTGCTGGATGATTTTGTGTAAGCATGATTTATGAAAAGGAAAACTGGAAGCAACCTGTATGACCCCACATAGCAGAGCTGTTTGAAGCAGGGGCTCTGAGGTGGGTGCGGTGGCTCACGCCTGCAGTCCTAGCACTCTGGAAAGCCGAGGCAGGTGGATCGCTTGAGCTCATGAGTTCAAGAGCAGTCTGAGCAAGAGTGAAACCCCCATCTCTACTAAAAATAGAAAAATTAGCCAGACATTATGGTGGGCACCTGTAGTCCCAGCTACTCAGGAGACTGAGGCAGGAGGCTTGCTTGAACCCAGGAGTTTGAGGTTACTATGAGTTAAAAAAAGGAAAAAGAAAGAGCTCGTGGGCTCTGAAGCCCACTGTCCACTCAATCTATCACACTGTATCATAACTTTCGAACATAAACAATGCCCCCAGTCCTCCGGTGCCTTTAGGAAATTATCTAAAAGCTTAACCATATGAACCACTCAGGAATGAGGATGTGGGCAGAATGGCCTCAAAGCAACCAAAGCAGATGACGAAATCTGAGCACTAAGGTGCTAACAGGAGAGTCCACTGAGCTCTCGACAATACTTACTACGATTCAAAAACAAAAACAAAACCCTAACCCCAGTTATTTTCACTCCAATTCACAATATATTAGAGGCATAGATTAGAGGAAAAGTTGCTTCTAGAATGACAGCATCTACAAATAACAGTGCCCAGTGCAGAAGTAGTGATTAAAATAACTAGAAAAAGTAAATATAAGAACTTAAAAAACAAAAGGAATCATCTGGTTCAGAGATGGTATCAATGTTCGTGTCAATTATACCACAGCACAATTTGTAAATTATAACAAATTCATTTTTAAAACCCCTGTCTATACTCAGTACACAGGAAGTATTTGTTACTTCATAATTTTACTTGTTACAAACATTTCACCTCTCTTCAACCTTACTTTTAAAATATGACTACTAAATATAAGCATATCTTGCCACCTAATGAAAGTCAAATTTCCAATTGGGATTTATAAAATATCATCTGTATTTCACATACCATTCACATACATTATTTATTCTTTATACAGCTGTCCTTTAAAAAAAAAAATTCCCCCTCCTTTCCCTGACAAAACTAACACCCAAGGGCAAGTGAGTTGGCAAACCCATATACATCAAGTGCATTACTGTTTCTCATAGATGCCGCTACCTGCTGTAGTCTCAAAAGGGTATTTTGTTAATGGTTAAAGGATCATCATCCTTTTTCTAACACTGCTGGCCTAAAACAGAAATTTCTGCAGGTTATAAATTTAGTTTTACTTGGTACAGCAAATGTAAGACCAAAAAATCCTTGTGGGAAAGATGCAGAATAAAGAGGTCAGGAGAGCCTCTTCCCCTTCCTTTACTAGTCTCAATCTCGCTATCAGGCTGTGACCTGTCATCAAACACCTCTGGGACCACATGTGCTTTGGGACTGGGAACCTGCCAGATCTTTCAAAGGGAACACAGCCCACCCACATGCAGTGAGTGTTACTCCAGCAGGGCCAGGGCAGCAAACTTTGACCAAACATAAACATCTCTGCAGGGAAACTCTGAAGGGTCTGCGCTACACTTAGGGAAAAGATGTTCATTTTTCAAATCACTCAGGCCCAGGAGTTTGAGGCTGCTGTGAGCTGTGACGCCACGGCACAAACTAAAAGAGGGAAAAAAAAGATGGCCATTTTTCAGAGTTTTCAGATTTTGAAATTTGAAATAAGGGATTATAGATACATCTGCGCCAAAACACTGTCATGGTTTCCGTTAAGAAAAGCTTCCTCCGCCTCCCCCACCCAAAAAAGAAGCCACAGAATTAAAAATAAATACTTTTTCTTTCTCTTTTATGGGGACTGCAAGCTTCATCTTTTGCTTGTAATTAAAATAAACTGTATTATTATTTTCACTAATTTTTTGAAAGATCACTGATCCACAGAAGAATACCAAAACTTAATTTGATTTTGTTTAGCTAATTAAGAGGCCAACAATTTGACTTAGAAAATGGGAGACACTAGAAAAAAAAGAATGGGAACACACATAAATCTCAATCAAAGAGTTTCCCAGGGCACCTGGATTCTAACAGCACCTTTACTCTGCCTTAGCTGTAGGTTCTCAGATGTGACTGCGGCTTGTTATTCACATCTCCACAAGCAACACAGACAGACCATCACTAAGGAAAACGCACAGCAACATACAGACGCAAGTTTTCATAATCCCCACATTTTAGCTATTTAGGTAAAATGCCTGTGTACACAAAATTACATAAACTACTAGATACACAAAACTGTAAAACTTAAAGAAGCAGATTTTTTCCAGAAACTGAGTTTTCTTTTTAAGGTAAAAATATGTGTAACAAAATGTACCAGTTTAATCACACTTAAATACAATTAAAGTGGCATTAATTACATTCACAGTGGTGTACAACCCTCACCACTGTCTGTTTCCAAAATTTTTCCAAAAGAAACCCTGTAAACACTTCACAATAACTTCCTACCCCACCTCCAATCTCTGGTAACCTTTAATCTGCTTTTGGTCTGTATGGATTTGTCTATTCCAGACAGTTCACATAAATGGTATCAGGTAATACTTGGGTTTGTGCCGGGCTTGTTTCACAGAGCATGTTTTTGAGGGTCATCATGTTGTAGTGTGTATCAGACCTCGTTCCCTTCTGTGCTGTACACACCTGTCTGTTTATCCACTCACCTTGTGAGGACAGACAGGTTCTTCCCACCTTCTGGTATTGTGAAAAACAATGTGTGAGCCCCTGTGCACCCCCATCCATCCAAGGCCCTGTTTCTAAGTCTTCTGAGTGTATACCTAAGACTGGAACTGTTAGATCCTGTGGTAATTTTACATCTAGCTTTTTTTTTCTGGAAAAAAAAAAAGCTTTTACTGCTATCATTTTATTTTTGATTGATTGACTGATTTTTTTAGAGACAGAGTCTCACTATATCACCCTCAGTAGAGTGAGTGCCGTGGAATCACACAGCTCACAGCAACCTCCAACTCCTGGGCTTAGGCGATTCTCTTGCCTCAGCCTCCCACGTAGTTGGGAGTACAGATGCCCGCCACAACACCCGGCTATTTTTTGGTTGCAGTTTGGCAAGGGCTGGGTTCAAACCTGCCACCCCCTAGATGGGGCCGGCGCCCTATCCACTGAGCCACAGGCGCAGCCCTCTATATCTAGTTTTTTTTAAGTACTGCTGAACTATTAGAAGCTAAATTTAAAAAAAATTTAAATGTTTTTCTTAGATATAATTTCAAACAGAATGCACACATAAAAAACGTTATACCATCGGCTTCACAGAAGTTGTCCTCAGAGTCATCGTGCTTGGTCCACTGAAGAACAGCCTTTTGGGTCTCCTCACTTCAAACAAAGAGAATAATGTTATTCTTCTTTTTAAGTTAACATGTAACATTTAAAAACCATAAAGTGCTGCTGGAAAATATCTAAAATCAAACCTCAGAGATTCATCCACTGCTCCAAGTCGTTCAGCTTGTTCACATTCTTCAATGAGATTGTTGGCTTCTTCAGAGTACTGAATTGAAAAGGGGGATAAGTAGAATACAACTTACTGTATTTTTAAAACTTTGTTTAAAAAAATTAGAGGTTAGCTGAGGCCCTTTTTATGCCTGGAACCACCATCTTGGTGTCAAAGCTTAAAAATTATTTTTAAAGGGAAAAAAAAGAACCTTTCACATTCCTCCTGAAGCTGAAAAACAAGAAAAAGGTTTTGTCTCCTGCTTTTGTTGTAGAACATAATTTACTGTTATGTTCATAAATAAAGAATACAGTCCTAACAACGCATCACTACACTGTTCACTAGGAAAACCTTGGAGGTGTGAGGCAGTCCTGAGGCAGGTGCTCAAGAAGCACTGTCCCACTTTTCTAATGACCTGGCTGTGAACATCAGTTCTCTTCCATGAAACACAGTAAGCGTCTGGACTACATCACGTGTGCCTGAGGCCTGTCCCATGCAGTGGTTCTAAGAATACCCTGGAACCGATCAAGTCTTATAAAAAGCATTCCAGCATCTTTAGGTTGTTAAAATACATTCTTTTAACAACCACGTTTCTGCTCAGTGTCTAAGTCACTATATGTGTGTGTGTGCGTGTGTGTGTGTATAAATATATTTTTTAAAATCAATGACACAGTCAATTTGGTCCATGAGATCCCACAACACGTCAGTCGTCATCACCAGCAAGCAGCTGAGACAACACTAAAATCAGGAGGCCACAAATTCCATCATCCACCAATTATCATCATTAACTAAGTGCCTATTAAGGCTTTACTGTTAAGATGATCACACAAATTACTATAGAAACTAGGGTGCTAAAATAACTTAAATGATACAATTTTTTAAGGGGACATTATAATAAATGACATAATTTTTTTGAAATATTTATTTGTTGAATGATAACTTTGTTTCATTACACTGGTTCACACATATGATAGATCTATCAAAAATTATTTCAAGGGCTCGGCACCTGTGGCTCAAATGGCTAAGGCGCCAGCCACATACACCTAAGGTGGCGGGTTCAAATCCAGCCTGGGCCCACCAAAACAACAATGATGGCTGCAACCAAAAAATAGTTGGGCATTGTGGGGGGCGCCTGTGGTCCCAGTTACTTGGGAGGCTGAGGCAGAAGACTCACTTGAGCCCAGGAGTTGGAGGTTGCTGTGAGCTGTGATGCCACAGCACTCTACCCGGGGGGGGGGGGGAACTATTTCAAAAATAAAATTCCTTCATACATAATTAGGTATTTAAGAGTAAAGTGATATATGATGTATTCAACTAGTAATCAAATGACTCAGAAAATAATATATATAAAGAAACGTGATAAAATAAAAGTGGCAAGTATTAAAATTAGTGAATCTGCAGCAGTGTACAAAATACCTTTATACTACTGGGGAAACCTTTCTCTAAGTTAAAAATTACTATAAAATAAAAAGTTGAAAATACGTATTAAAAATGAACGAAATTTTTCAAAAAGTAACATACACAGATGTATATTAAAACAAAAATTTTATTTTATTTATTTTTTTTCCAGTTTTTGGCCGGGGCTGGGTTTGAACCTGCCACCTCCGGCATATGGGGCCAGCGCCTTACTCCTTTGAGCCACAGGCACCGCCCTAAAACAAAAATTTTAGGACAGGCACAGTGGCTCATGTCTGTAATCTCAGCACTCTGGGAGACCAAGGTGGGTGGATCACCTGAGCTCAGGAGTTCAAGACCAGCCCAAGCAAGCATAAGACTTATCTCTAGGCTCAGCACCCATAACTCAGTGAGTACAGAGCCAGCCACACACACCAAGGCTGGCAGGTTAGAGCCCACACTGAACCTGCTAAACAACAATGACAACTGCAACCAAAGAATAGCCGAGTGGGCATCTGTAGTCTCAGCTACTCCAGAAGCTGAGGCAAAAGAATCACATAAGCCCAAGAGTCTGAGATTGCTGTGAGCTGTGACAACACACCACTCTACAAAGGGCGACACAGTGACACACTGTCTCAAAAAAAAAAAAAAAAAGAAAGAAAGACCAATCTCTACTAAAAATAGAAAAACTAGCCAGGCATTGTGGCAGGCACCTGTGGTCCCAGCTATTCAGGAGGCTGAGGCTAGAGGGTTGCTTGAGCCCAAGAGTTTGAAGTTGCTGTGAGCAATGATGACACCACAGCACTCTACCCAGAAAGACAGAGTGAGACTCTTTGTCTCAAAAAAAATTTTTAAGACTTACTACTGTGATTATCTGATTGAAAAATAAGTTAAAAAAAACACTATTCTTTCAACAATTTAATCTTAAAATCTCATTTTAATAAGATATAAAATAATGACTTAACATTAATCCCATCTATTACTTCTAAAAAAATTAATCTTCAGGGTTGGTGCCCCTAGCACAGTGGTTTCGGCATCAGCCACATACACTGAGGCTGGAGAGTTCAAACCCAGACAGAGCCTACTAAACAACAATGGCAACTGCAACAAAAAAACAGCAGGGTATTGTGGTGGGCCCCTGTAGTCCCAGCTACTTGGGAGGCTGATGCAGGAGGATAGCTTAAGCCCAAGAGGTTGAGGTTGCTGTGAGCTGTAACGCCACAGCATTCTACTGAGGGTGACAAAATGTGACTCTATCTCAAAGAAAAAAAAGAACAAAACTATTCTTCAATAATTTAATTGCTCTTATTTAATAATTCAGTTACCTTCTTTTTTTTTTTCTCAAACAGAGTCTCACTTTGTCACCGTCAGTAGAGTACCATGGCATCACAGATCACAGTAACCTCAGACTCTTAGAATTAAGCGATTCTCTTGCCTCAGCCTCCCAGTTGCTGGGACTACAGGCGTCTGCCACAATACCCAGCTATTTTTTGTTGCAGTTGCCATTGCTGTTTTAGCTGGCCCAGGCCAGGCTCGAACAGGCCAGGCTCGAACCCTCCAGTCTCGGTGTATGTGGCTGGCGCCGTAACCGCTGTGCTATGGGCACCGAGCCGAGTTACCTTCTTGGTCACATCTGTCTCAATGCTATATCATTGGTATTTTCCTGAAGAACATTTTCTCCAATATCTTATTGTTTTTAATTTTTCAAAAAATTGCCCACAATCTTTTTCAAAGTTATATTTTAGAGTTAATCAATTTATAGATGTTTTTCAAAGTTACATTTTATGGTTAATGAATTTGAAATTATTGGTACTGTCGAACGACTGCAGATTTTAACTGAGAAACTATTATCTCTACAGGTAAAGTATAACATTTTTCTTCAATAAATATTTTTTTTATTTTTTTTCCTTTTTTTTGATAGTTTAAGAAAAAACTCAAGTAAGCTGACTTTATTATCTTAAATGTCTTGCCAAATTTAGATACTACAAAATCGTTAAGCCTTTTCCACATCATTCCATTTCAGTTCAGAATGTGTTATCCAATTAAAAGCCAGAGCTCTATCAAAAGGAGATTCCCACAAGTAGAGATACTCCAAAACACAACTACAAAATTTCAGAATTAAGATTTCAAAATTAAATTAAATGGGCCTGGTGGTGAGCTGGAAGCGGGACCCGCATCCCTGGCGCGACATAGGGCTGGCTGCTGCCTAGGTTTTGTCCCAGTTCCTAGTGCAGGCAGTTGCTGCTCTAGGTGTGGTGGGGCCCGAACGCGGTTCCCCCGGGATTTTTGGCTCTGCGGAGGGACTCGCGCTGGCCAGGCCGAGGGGCACAAGTGACCATGGTTCCTGTGGGCCAGCGGCCGCGGTAGCTCACCCACAGTATAGAATTTAAACCTTCTCTTTGGAGTGTATGGTAAAACTAAAGACAACGACGAACAGCTAAAGGTAGTCTAGAATTGTGATTGGCTCACTAATAACACCAGGACAAAGTTAAGAGATCGCAACGCAAGCATACGTTTTCCTAAGACTGCTATGAAGATGTCTGATATTAAGGCTTGGGCTGAGTATGTCGTGGAATGGGCTGCAAAGGACCCATATGGCTTCCTTACAACAGTTATTGTGGCCCTTATGCCACTGTTCCTAGCAAGTGCTATACTGTCTTGGAAGTTGGCCAAGATGATTGAGGCCAGGGAGAAGGAGCAAAAGAAGAAACAAAAACGTCAAGAAAATATTGCAAAAGCTAAACGACTAAAGAAGGATTGAAGGAATGAACA